TTTTTACCGAGAATCATTTTTGAAAGAATTGTGGTTTGTGGTGTAGGCGAAGGTCGTTGTCGGTAGTAATATCTGGTCCTATTTTCAAGCTCGCTTGGGAAAAATGAACTTTTACTTTTGTAAAATAGTAATGACCTATTGTATGATAGTTTATATTTGCTTGACCGCTGAAGCCATAAGGGACGGAGATGCGAGATATGGCAGGTGTTCTTGGAAACTTATGTTTTGATATTTATATAAATTCACATAAACTGTTGCTTTAACCCAAAAAATTCATTTTAATAAGTATGAATTTCTGGCATTTATGTAAGATTTAGACTTTCGATGTTTTTCAGGAACTATAGTCGAATTTTATTACAAATAGTTTCGTTGAATTTTTCGACTTACTACAATCCCGTTTAAAGGGATTTTTTAACAATACTTTGAAAAAAAAGACCAAGAAGACCATTTTAGTGTCTGTTTTAAGGTTGAAATGGTCAACCAAATTATTAAATAACAAGTAAAAAAGCAGTAAGTTCGGTCGGGCCGAATTTTGAATACCCTCCACCATTTAAAACGAATTAGAACATTTTCAAAAAAATTAAATCCATTGAAAATTCAAAAAAAATCTTTAAAATACCTAATATCGGAAGGTGCCGATATATGGGGGATACACGATATTGTGGACCTATATAGACAAATCTATGTCTGGGGGTAAAGTACTCAGAAGGGACTCCTTGTGTGGAATTTCAGACAATTCCATTAAAAAATGTGTCTAAAATCATCAAAATACCGAATATCGAGGGGTACCGTTATATTGGGGCAATGCCATATCGTGGACCTATATAGATAATTATCATCCAGAGGATAAAGTACTCAAAAGGAACTCCTTGTGTGGAATTTCAGACAATACCATTGTAAAATGGGGCTTAAATCATCAAAATACCGAATATCGGAGGGTGCCGTTATATGGGGGATATACGATATCGTGTACCTATATATACAATTTTTTTTGAGGGGATAAAATGCCCACAAGGGACTCCTTTTGTGGAATTGCAGACAATTCTGCTAACAAATGTATCTAAAATCATCAAAATACCGAATATCGCGGGGTACCGTTATATGGGGGCTATACGATATCGTGGACCGATATAGCCCGTCTTCGAACTTGACCTGCCTGCAGACAAAAGACAGATCTGTGAAAAATTTTAGCTTCCTCTCTTAATTCGTTTTGACTGTAGTGTGATTACAACCGACGGACAGAAGGACGGACATGGCTAAATCGTCTTAGAATTTTACGCTGATCAAGAATATATATACTTTGTTGGGTCTAAAATGATTATTTCGATGAGTTACAAACGGAATGACGAACTTAATATACTATCCATGCTATATATGGTGGAGGGTATAAAAATGGTCTGCAATATTGAGAAAGTTACTCTATTAAAACAACAAGTAAAAAATCTCCGCAAATTGGAACGAATTTGGAAATTTTCCAAAAAAAAAAAAAAAAAAACAAAATTCGTTAAATATTCTGTTAAAATCTTAAAAATACCGATTGTAGCCGTTATATTAGGGTCTATACGACAACGTGGACTGCATAGGGACATTTTGTCACAAGCCAAAACGATATTCAAATGCAAAACATAAAAAGCAACTAAAAAAGCAGTAAGTTCAGTAAGAACTTTGAATACTCTCCACCATTTGGAACGAATTAGAAAATTTTCAAAAAAATAAAATCCATTAAAAATTCTTTTAAAATTTTTAAAATATCTAATATAGGAAGGTGCCGATATGGGGGGATATACGATATTGTGGACCTATAAAGACAAATCTATGTCTGCGTGTAAAGTACTCACAAGGAACTCCTTGTGTGGATTTTCAAAATACCGAATAATGCGGGGTATCGTTATATGGGAGCTATACGTTATCGTTAACCTATATAGAGAATTCTCTATCGGGGGTTAAAGTGTTCACAAAGAACCCCTTGTGTACAAACAATCCCTTGTGACCATTCCGTTGAAAAATATGGCTAAAAACACCAAAATACCGAATATCGGGGAAACCGATACGCTATACGATATCGGCGACCTATATAGATAATTCTATGCCGAGGTATAAAGTACACACAAGGAACTCCTTGTGTGGACAATTCCTATGAAAAATGTGGGTAAAATCATCAAAATACCGAATATCGGGGGGTACAGTTATATGGGGGATATACGATATCGTGGACCTATATAGATAATTCTCTGCCGAGGTATAAAGTACTCACAAGGAGCTTCTTGTGTGGATTTTCAGACAATTCCGATGAAAAATGTGTGTAAAATCATCAAAATACCGAATATCGGGGGTACCGTTATTGGGGGATATACGATATCGTGGACCTGTATAGACAATTCTCTCTCAGGGGGTAAGGTACTCACAAGGAACTACTTGTGTGGATTTTAAGACAATTCCATTGAAAAATGTGGCTAACATCATCAAAATACCGAATATCGGGGGGTACAGTTATATGGGGGCTATACGATATCGTGGACCGATCTTCGAACTTGACTTGCCTGCAGACAAAAGACAGATCTGTGCAAAATTTTAGCTTCCTATCTTAATTCGTTTAGACTGTAGCGTGATTACAACTTTGTTGGGTCTAAAATGATTATTTGGAAGAGTTACAAGCGGAATGACGAACTTAATATACCCTCCATACTTTTTTGGTGGAGGGTATAAAAATTCGGTGAATAATGTAGCTAAAATCATATAATACCGAACATAGGGAGGTACTATTTTATGGGAGCTATACCAAAACGTCACCTGCACAGACAATTTTTCGCAATAGGCTGTAGTATCCATTACGAACTTCAAATATCAAATTTGAAACATTTTCGGTGAATAATGTCACTAAGATCATAAAAATACCGAATATCGGGAGGTATCATTATATGGGGGCTATAGCAAATTTTCTGTAATAGATTGTTGTATCCATTACATCAAATACCAAATATGAAACATTTCCGGTGAATAATGTCGCTTAAGTCACCATAATTCCGAAAATAGGGAGTTACCATTATATGGGGGCTATTCCAAAACGGGGACCTACATGACCCATTTTCAATACCAAAAGTCCTGCAGACATAACATACATTTGAGTATAATTTTATCAACCTACTTCATTTCGTTCGAAAGCTAGAGTGATTTCCAAAGACGGACAGACGAACGGACATCGCTAAATCACATAGAATTCTATACTGATCAAGAATATATGTACTTTGTGGGGTCAAAAATGTATGACAAACTTAATATACCCTCCATACTATGGTGGAGGGTATAAAAAAGAAACTGAAATCATATTAAGATATATATGAGAACTATATCCAAATCTGAAACGATCTTGGCATAATTTTAAAAACGTATTTTTGAGCTGTATCTGATATCTGGTACCATAGATTATTGTTGTGGAGTGCCTAGTTCGCATGTGAGCGACTTAAAACCCCAAATCGGATTCACAACATATATTCATTCGAATTTCCCAAAATTCAGTCCATTTCGGCTGATATTAGCCATTTGGGGCACAATAAACCTGATATCGGGTAAAGATATATTGGAGCGATATCGTAATCTAATCCAATCTCGATCCGATTTGAAACACTTATTTATAAGCATGCGAGGGACTTTAACACCAAATCGGACCAAAAATATATATGGGAGCTATAGCTATATAGCTGAACCGATTTTCTCCGAATTCGATTTACTTGCTTCTAGACTGAATTTGGTCGGATGTACAAAATTCAGGAATTAGGTCGTTTGGATGACCAATAGCAAGGTCATTTGGTGCACAATTAACCCGAAATCGATTCAAGAGTAGGGTTCGTTCTGGGGTCAAACAATTATTGGTAAGAAAATGTCATCTCAATCGGTTAATTATTGCGACCTACATTTTGTTCACAAAAATACATGGACAGACGGACGGACACACCGATTGACATGAATAAATCGACTCAAAAAGTGATTCTATGAAGATCCTCAAAAATAACTATGGGTCTATCTCGCATTCATCTCCATGTTACAAAACAAATGCACAAAGACATAATACTCTTACCACTATGTGGTGTAGGGTATAAAAGTACTGCTCCGGAATCAGGGTACAAATACCTACCTTTACAAAAATTTGTGAATTTTTACTAAACTACAGTTAAGTCCTTCCTATTACCTTCAGAATATTTAGCATTAAAATGGGTCATACAGTCCATGGCGTCATAATTTCAGGTATTTCAGCATTTGTGTTTGAATTGGTTCGACCTATTAATTGTTTCGACCCTATTAATTTTTGTGTTCTTAAACTGAATTTGCTTGTAGGATACATGCTTGCTTATAGGGGTTAACCTTGATTGTTAAATCATTAAACCGTTCTGTTTTCCTGCCGACCGACCTACCTTGTCAATGATAGTCATTGTCATTGCCATTGTCACATTGACATTGAATGCATTGTTTTTGTCCTCTGTTGTTGGCGCTCAGGGTTTTTGTTATTGTATTTCCTTGCCCTTACGAAAATCCACTGATCTCATGCATGGCCATAGCACGGCATCTTTGGACTTGGAAGGATATACATATGTATTTATATATTGTAATTTCTTTGTATGACATCTTGGCAACGGACTTGACTTTATTCGTTCAGTTAGTCAGTCAGTCGTCCGAATACATGGCATCACATACTGCTGGCGAATGGTTTTCTTGGCCAATGTCAATGGGGATTTTGTGTTCTTCATGGCTAGATGAGTTATTACAATGACCAAGGCATATGAATTAAAAAAAAAAAAAAAACGAAAAACAAATTTTATACGCAAAGGCGGCGAAGGATGGATGGATGAGTTTGAATGTGTAAACGTCATAAAGATTATGCATAATTATTTTGTTGTCTCACACACACACACACACATACACATGTCGTATGTGTATGTGTAATAATGGACTTTATTTGTTTCAAGAGAATAATTTTGTCTTTCTCTCTCTCTTTGTGTTTTCAGTCGCCCAGTCGTCTGGAGACAGCTGCCGGCACCTCAAGTGAACATACCACAGGACGCCAGTTGCAACGAGTCCTCCACTACTCAATGACACCATGCATGCAAGGACCCCTAAGATCCGAATGTGCCATTCATGACGTTGACTGTGATGAAGTGTATCCCGGTATCTATATTGGTGATGCGTAAGTAGCGGCGGCTGGTGCCACAACGGCACCCTTGCTGAATTTTCATTTTCGGATGAAATGTAATTTAAAATTAATTTCATTTCTACAGAGCTTCGGCGAAAAATAAAACTTTCCTGCGCATGAAAGGTATTACACATGTCTTAAATGCCGCCGAGGGTTGTCGTTACGGGCAAGTTGATACAGGGCACAGCTATTATCGTGATATGCCAAGCATAAGGTAATGTTTTTTTTTTTTTTTGAGGTAGCTTTCATTTGTCACCCATGTCACGTCAGCCAGAGTGGAGCATTCACATTTGATTAACTCATACGTTTTTCACCATTAACTAATTACAGAGAATTATTTTTGTGGTTTAATTTGTTTAATTTAATTGTACACAAGTATACAGAGAGATATTTGTTTGAGTTTTTTCAGAGTGGGAGTTAGTGGAAATTAGGCAAATAATCCATGAAGGGGTAATGTAAACAAACAACCTTCAATATCATCAGTAGATTGAAAGTAATGGAATATTCCTTAAATAGATGCAATATAAACATAACTTAGTGAACTCATTACCAAGTAATGAGTAAAGTCGGCATAGAGTGTGCGCTTACAACTTTCATAAATTGTTTTTGGTTTCTATTTATTTGTCGACTTTTCTTTTCAAAAGGAATTATTTAGTAGATTTATTTCTAAGTAGTTACGATTTTCAAAAAAAGGTTAGAAAACCATTATTTGGTAATGGAAGTTTTAACTTGGCAGTATATTCAATGATGCCTCCATCCCTTAACTTGCACCATACTATGACTTTTTCCGGAAGATTAGTAGCTTTTGCAATGCTTCTGGCTGATCTTCACTCCAAACTGGACAATTATGTTTAGTAACGTACCCTTTGTACCAAAAATCAGCTTCGTCGTTGAACACAATTTCCCTATAAAAGATTCTGCATGGCAGTAGGTTGATAAGCTTAAGTTATTGCACTAGGTGTATTTCGAAGGGCTTCAAACCTTAATCCTTCCGCAAAATTTTCCATGCTTTTAAGAAACAGAGGCCCCATAGCTGCGAACGGCTTCATCGAAAAAGAAAGGATCATTCGATTTCTTTCCGACTTTGTAAATCTTAATATTTATAGTGCTAGATAAGGTGCTAAAATGGGCGCTACTGCTTTACTTCTTTTTGTACCTCCCTCGTAATGTTTATAAAATGTAAACGAGTCCATTTGTCCTTAAATTTTTCATATCCCAACTTTTATCTAGGTCTGATAAAAAGATAGATGGATCGGCCCACTCCTGCTGGTACCACCCCCACATTTTGAATAAGGAAATGCTTATAAAATGTAATGGAAGAATCCGAATGCATATTCCAACGGCTCTCCCAATTATAGATCTAGTATGAATAGGAATAGATCAAATCATTCCTTCTTGTATCTCCGCCACAACGGGTCAACATTTTGAATACTAAACGTCATCATATTCATCCGCAAAAAGAACATACATAGAATGTTCCAAAAAACCTTAAATCTGACAGTACAGTTGTATGGGGCCTATATGAAAAAGCGGACCTATATGGCCTATTTTTATACCCTCCATCATATATAGGATGGAGGGTATATTAAGTTCGTCTTTCCGTTTGTAACTCATCGAAATAATAATTTTAGACCTAAAAAAGTATGTATATTCTGGATCAGCGTAAAATTCTAAGAAGATTTAGCCCTGTCCGTCTGATAGGAAGCTAAAAATTTGCACAGATCAGTTTTTTGTCTGCAGGGAGGTCAAGTTCAGAGATGGGCTATATAGGTCCGCGATATCATATAGCCCCATATAACGGTACCCCCGATATTCGGTATTTTGATGATTGCAGCTAAATTTTTTAATAAAATTGTCTGAAAATCCACACAAGAAGTTCCTTCTGGATACTTTACCCCCTGGAAGATTATTGTCTATATAACCCCCATATAACAGTACCTCCCGATATTCGGTATTTAGAAGATTTTAGCAACATTATTTACGGGAGTTGTTTAAAATTTCGTATTTAGAGTTCGTAATGGGCCAATGACAAAATATCGTCTATGCTGGTCCTCGTTCTCGTATAGCGCCCATATATCGGTACCTCCCTATATTCGGTATTTTGTTGCAGAAAATTGTTCAGGACCAGGTCTTCGTATAGCCCCATATATCGGTACCTATCTGCATGCGGTATTTTAATAAATTTACCTAGAATCAAATATAAGGGTTATATTCGGAATTTTTAAGATATTAACAGAGTTTTTAACGGTTTTAATTTTTTTGAACACTTCCAAATTCGTCCCAAATGGTGGAGTTATTTAATAATAAAGGACCACGACGGTACTTGGATTCTATGCGAAATACATGTTTGAATAAATGTTTTGTCTTGACCCACGACGGTATACTATGGACTGTCTGGCCTTATTTTCGTTCCACTCACCTGGTAACATTAATCGATGTTCTGAAATTCACTCGCGTTCCAGGATGCTTTCAATGGCCTTCCCGACGTTGGTCAAATAATAAAAAATGCTTTAACGCTCTTATAACAATTATTATTTAAATTACCTAAAAACAGTATTCATTATTAAAAATAAAAAAAAAAAAACAAAGTTACGAAGTTAAAAAGCATTCTTCCCCATGTGGAAAAAAGTTAAAAATTTTCAAAAAATAAAATAGAAAATAGAATCATTTAAATTTCTGATAAGATCTCAAAAATACCATTTTAGGGTCAATGCGAAGACGTGGACCTGCATAGCCAAATCAACATTAAATTTATTGCTGATCAATAATATATATACTTTGTGGGGTCTAAAATGTATATTTCGGGGTATTACAAACGGAATGATTAATGTACCCTCCCGTACTATGATGGAGGGTATAAAAGCAAAACCACTCGCTGGTGTAGTAAAAATGAGGCAAAAAAAGTTTTTAGTAATTTGAAACCTATTTGATATGAATTCTCGAATACACTACCATATCCGCGAATTCACGAAAATTTTTAAAATTTAAGGCTAAAAAGTGTAATTTGTAGAATTTCTTAGAACAAATTCCAAAAAACACTACAATTTCTACTCTCTAGTCTTTAATACCGCTTAGTACGAATTTTAAAAAGCTTCATTATGAAAGATGTTCTGAAGTTAGAGCGAGCTTTTAATCAAAAAGCGCCAGCTAAATGACCACTACAGTTCATTTATGGTCAAAGGGTTACTTTAGTTTTGGCGAAGCAATAAAAAATCTCATCTCAATAAAAACCAAGTAACTATGTTCTGTATACTTGTATTATTGATTAATTTATTTATTTTTATTAATTTATTTCAAAATTTATATTTTCATATTTTCTTGACAAAACTCGCTGATTATCACATCGATACCACTACTACGACAACAATCAAAATTTACACACACCAATTATAACAACTCCTTTTGGCATTATAATGTAATTTTAAATTCATTTGCCTTGTAAAATATTGCATTTGAATCGATTACAACCACGACATGATCACGAAATGAAAATATATCGCACACACCCACTCGCACATACACATGAACATGAACATATACTACTCACACATGCATAATACATGATATGCGGAAAATCATGCAACGCGATATATCGTTCATAAAAAAAAAACATATAAATATTTTATTTTTGAATGAGAGCAGAAGAAACAACAAAGACACTATTTTCAGGTATATGGGCTTCCCAATGGTTGATGCTCCGACGACAGATATTTCACGTTATTTCTATGTGGCCGCCAAATTCATTGACAACGCCCTGAGCAGTGGAGGTAAATATTAGTGGCTTTTAATGTTTATGTATATATTATATTATTATATTACCATTATTATTACTAATATGTTTTATGTATTACCAATATTTCAACTCCTAAAAGTATGCATTAAGTATTTTTAGTAGAAAATCTATGATGCCTAGACATATTGACTACTTGCATAAATTTTGAAGATACTGGTTAAAATCCTTTTTGTTTAATTGTTCAATAAAAAGGGTGATTTTTAAGAGCATAAAAAAGTTTTTCAGACACACAAAAAAAGGAAAAAACTGTTAGTTTGGCCTGGCCGATCTTTGAATACCCTCCACAATTTTGAACGAATTTGGTAATCTTAAAAAAAAAAAAAATTAAAAAAAAAAAATAAATAAAACCAGTTAAGATCTTAAAATTACCGAATTTAGCCGTTATATTTGGGTCTATACGACGACGGCAACTTTTGTCATAACCCTTTACAATATTCAAACGCGAAACTTGAAAAAAATCGGTGAATAACGTAGCTAAAATCATCGAATATCGGGAGGTACCGTTATATGGGGGCTATACGAAGATGTGGACCTGCACAGACAATTTCTGTCATAGACTGTAGTATCCATTACGTACTTCAAACATCAAATTTGAAACAATTCCGGTGAATAATGTTGCTAAAATCATCACAATACCGAATATGGGGCTATACGAAGACGTGGACCTGCTCAGACAATTTCTGTCATAGGCTGTAGTATCCATTACGAACTTCAAACATCAAATTTGAAACAATTCCGGTGAATAATGCTAAAATCATTAAAAGTACCGAATATCGGGAGGTACTGTTATACGAAGGCGTGGACCTGTATGGACCATTTTCTGTCATAGGCTGTAGTATCCATTGCGAACTTCAAATATGGAATTTGAAACAATTCTGGTGAATAATGTTGATAAAATCATCAAAATACCGAATATCGGGAGGTACCGTTATATGGAGGCTATACGAAGACGTGAACCTACACAGATAATCTTCTGTCGTAGGCTGTAGCATCCAATTCGAACTTCAAATACCAAATTTGAAATAATTCCGATGAATATTGTCGCACAATACCGTATATGGGGCTATACGAAGACGTGGACCTTCACAGCCCATTTTCTGTTTTAGGCTGAAGTATCCATTACGAACTTCAAATACCAAATCTGAAACGATTCCGGTGAATAATGCTAAAGTCATTAAAAGTACCGAATTATTTGCTAAATTTCAACTCAATCGAAAAAGAAATAATTTTCCGCAGTCAGGGTAAGAAATACCTACCTCTGGAAAAAAATCGAAGAATTTTTACTAAACTAAGTTGTTCCCGATATTATTCCTGAGTTTTCTTCGCACCTTGAATTATTTCCAAAAATATTAGATCTTGTATTACTATGGGAAGTATAGGTCCAATGTAAATCTATACCACCTCCGAAAAGAGTATAAATAAATGTATGGCCAAATGCTGAATGTATTTCAGCCGAAACCCCGACTGAATATTTTTCAAAACTTTAATTTAGAATATTTGTCAGGACTCCTTGTCCTTTTATGTATTGCCTTCAATATTTTTCATGATTTCTTAAAAAAATATTAATCCCTTTTTTTATTCCATTCACAGGTCGTGTTTTGGTGCACTGTTTGGTCGGTATGTCCCGTTCGGCTACGTGCGTTCTTGCCTATCTTATGATTTGCCGGAAAATGACCGCCGTTGAGGCCATTCGCAAAGTGCGCATGCATCGTGATATTCATCCCAATGATGGTTTCCTACAACAATTGGCTGATCTTGATATGGAACTCAAGCGGAAAAATCTATATCCCTATTAAACCAAAATCTAAAAAAAAACCAAAACACAAATCCCGAATCATACTTTATATTTATATTCTAATAATAATTATAATTATTACGATAGACACATATTTATGATGATAAAATAATGTAAAAAATTGAAATGAAAATGAAAACCACATAGTGATCTAGTAATGAGACCATTTTATTCGACCACTACTCAAATGACTTCCATGACGGACCCCAAAGAGGACATAATTGGACTGAAAACAAATGAATAAATCCCAAGAACAACAAAAAAACATGAACGATCTTTTTGAACTTATTTTATAGAAAATCAAGAAAAACAACAAAATCATAAAATGCAATGAGGACTAAAACAATATTAATAATTAATTATTTTTTTTGTGTAGAATTTTAAAATAATAATAATAATTTTTTATGTATTATTTAATATATTAAAGGAAACAAGAAAAAAAACAATAATAATCAATTATGGATATATACATACATATAATAATTATAAAGTATATTATTTAGCAACTAAATTAAATTGTAATACCAAAAACAAAAAACTAAAACAATATTAAGAAATTAATGCTGAAAATCGAAACCAATGTCGTATGGGTAGATGATATAACTCTCCCTCTGTGTAGACACATCAAATTCATCAATTCCATGCAAAAGTATATATTCTCTTAGCATACTATGTACTCAATTGTCACCTGTTGCATACTTTTAACGAGTAGTGTGTTAAGACACTTAGGAAATTGCCACATTTGCTGTGAACGTTAACGATTATTGAAAAAAGAAAAACGATAGCTAATAACTCTCTCATTTTGTTTCTCATCATTGTTCTCATAACGATCTTATCGAACTCTCTCGCTCCACTGTGCAACACAAAATGTAAAGGCGTTACTAAAAAATTGTGAATAAATTTGTTGCATTTTATACAACACCAAAAATTATGCTGGGAGTTTTAATTTTGTTTTTATTAATTTCAAGTTTTTTTTTCTGAGGCTAAGTCTAGGAGGTGCTAATCGGATGTCTTTAGAAATTAACTCGAAATGCTATCTTTAAATCATATTAGGAGTGAGACTTGCCTGCGAGGATTGAGGAATACGAGTTAACATAAACTAAAAGAGCACTAGACAAAAGTTTAAGCGGCTCGATTTCGAGCGAGCTTAACTCTCTACTCGAATTTGAGCCGGATTACTTCTGGGAGTGGGAAAAACATCGAGCTAACCCTTTTCGAACGATATCCAGAAAGCGTGGACCAACATATTTTCATGTTTCAACACATTCCCTTTAAGGGGAATGTAGGGCAACAGTGAGCCAATATTTCCATTTTTATACTCTACACCACAAGGTGGTCAGGGTATTATGTCTTTGTGCATTTGTTTGTAACAGGCAGAAGGATCACATGCATAGAATCACATTCTGAGTCGATTTATGCATGTCCGTCCGTCCGTCCGTCTTTCCGTCCGTCCGTCCGTCCGTCTGTCCGTCTGTCCATGTATTTTTGTAAACAAAGAACAGGTCGCATTTATTGCCCGATCCAGATGAAATTTTGCAAAGATCTTTTGTTTGGCCCAAGGACGAACCCTATTGAAAGTGGAGATAATCGGTCAAAATTTAGATATAGCTCCCATATATATATCTTCGTCCGATTTGCCTTTTATTGTGCACCAAACGTGTAATATTAGCCCGAATTGTATGGAATTTTGCATATACACCCAAATTAGGCCTGAAAATATGAATGCCAAACTTGATCGAAATCGGTTCAGATATAGCTATAGCTCCCATATATATTGTTCATCCGATTTGTTATTTTTGTCCACCGCCGCCGTAATATGCACTATGCAACAACAATATTTGGGGAAATATATCAAATACAGCTCAGAAATACATTTGCTAAATTTTATCGAGATCGGTTTAGATTTGGATATAGCTCCCATATATAACTTCGTCCGATTTACGTTTGATTGTGTAGCAAACATCTAATATTTGTCCATATGGGATGGAATTTGGCACCTACGACCGAATTGAGTCTAGAAGCTAGTATGTCAAATTTGGTGAAGATCGGTTCAGATATAGCTATAGCTTCCATATATATTATTCATCCGATTTGTTATATTTGTTACCCACAACCGTAATATGCACTTCGTAACAAAGATATTCAGGGAAATATATCAAATACAGCTCAGAAATATCTTTGCTAAATTTTATCGAGATCGGTTCAGATTTGGATATAGCTCCCATATATATCTTTATCCGATTTAAAATTAATTGTGCACCAAATGGGCAATACAATTCCGAATTTAAAAGACACAAATGCTTCGGCATATTTAGTCCTTTGAACTTTAAATTATAATTATAATCATAGCGTGTATGATTGAATTCTCCCATAAAAACTTTTAATTGTTATGTGGAGCTCTACTTAATTAGCAAAGTGGTGTAGGGTATCATAAAGTCGGCCCCGCCCGACTTGAAGACTTTCTTTACTGGTTTGCTTCTGACCTATGTCTGATAATACTACCATGTCGTGACGTTGGACAATATAGGGTACACGACTCAATGTACCCTCATCCAAATGACAAGAGAGAGTATATACCATTTAATATGGCCAAAACGTGTCTCACCGAAATAATTTTTTTAGACCCCAGGTCTCTTTGGGCCTCATCCGTGTCAGGACACATGGAGTCGACCTAGCGATTTCCGTCCGTCCGTCTGTCTGGAAGAAAGGAAGTATAACATTTGCAAATCATAACATTTTTGTCAGTGCTAGGTCAGGTGCGAAAATGGAGAGTATCGTCCCACTACATCAAGTACCTCCCCCGCAAAGGGTCAAAATTTGTGAAAAAATTTAAAAATGAGAAATATGAATCCGAGTTTCTTTCACACGTTATAATATTTTTATTAACACAAGATCTGGTTTGAAAATGTAATTTATCGGTCCACTCCTTCTGGTACCTCCGGCACAAAGAGTCAACATTTTGAATATCCATGAAGCTTCTAAAACGCAAAGTTAACATCCGATTCCATTCAGACTTGGCAAATCTCAATATTTCTATCACCACTAGATCTGTTATAAAGATGGTAGAGAACGGACCATTTATTCTGGTACCTCCCCCTTAAAATCCGAAATAAGCATCCGGTTCTCTTCAAATTTCACACATGCCATTATTCTAACAATATCTGCTGTGAAAATGTGATCTATCGGTCCACCCCACAAAGGGTTTCAAATTTTGAAAAACAAAACGCAAAATAAGCTTCCAACTGTCTTCAAATTTCACACATACAAACCTTTTTGCGAACACAAAATCTGTTGTGAAGATGATATAAATCTGCCAACCCCCTTCTTGTACCTCACCCACAAAGGATAACAATTTCCCATACTTATAACTGTCATGACTTGCGAAACAAGTCGGCGAGCCTATAGAATTTGCTATATCTTAATTTTCCCCTTAGCCATAAATCTGATATGTATGTGTTATTAACCTGAATTTATGATTTCGTATATAACTCGATCCATCCGCTGTATCTGGTACCTGTCCGCTATATCTGGTACCTCACACATATTTCTACATTTTCCAAAAATTTGCACATATCTCATATAAAGTATAGGAAGTAGCGAAATCGTCCAAATATGGCATGTTGTAATATTTGTATCAGACTTAGGTCAGATACAAATTGGGCAATATTGGCCAATTGTTTCGAACCTCCCCCGTAGAGGGTCAATAGTTAGAATAATCATAACTCAATACATCTATCGGCAAAACCAACTGATACTATTTAACTTGGTTTTATTCAAAATTTTACCATCTTTTGTGGCGGAGGACCTGTGTACCGATATGATCCTTCGGGAGTTATAGTGCGCACGGCAGATGGATAAAGGGACGGACATAGTTAGACCGATTCGAAAGGTTTGGATTTCGCCCAAAGAATACGAGTTAACATAAACTAAAAGAGCACTAGACAAAAGTTTAAGCGGCTCGATTTCGAGCGAGCTTAACTCTCTACTCGAATTTGAGCCGGATTACTTCTGGGAGTGGGAAAAACATCGAGCTAACCCTTTTCGAACGATATCCAGAAAGCGTGGACCAACATATTTTCATGTTTCAACACATTCCCTTTAAGGGGAATGTAGGGCAACAGTGAGCCAATATTTCCATTTTTATACTCTACACCACAAGGTGGTCAGGGTATTATGTCTTTGTGCATTTGTTTGTAACAGGCAGAAGGATCACATGCATAGAATCACATTCTGAGTCGATTTATGCATGTCCGTCCGTCCGTCCGTCTTTCCGTCCGTCCGTCCGTCCGTCTGTCCGTCTGTCCATGTATTTTTGTAAACAAAGAACAGGTCGCATTTATTGCCCGATCCAGATGAAATTTTGCAAAGATCTTTTGTTTGGCCCAAGGACGAACCCTATTGAAAGTGGAGATAATCGGTCAAAATTTAGATATAGCTCCCATATATATATCTTCGTCCGATTTGCCTTTTATTGTGCACCAAACGTGTAATATTAGCCCGAATTGTATGGAATTTTGCATATACACCCAAATTAGGCCTGAAAATATGAATGCCAAACTTGATCGAAATCGGTTCAGATATAGCTATAGCTCCCATATATATTGTTCATCCGATTTGTTATTTTTGTCCACCGCCGCCGTAATATGCACTATGCAACAACAATATTTGGGGAAATATATCAAATACAGCTCAGAAATACATTTGCTAAATTTTATCGAGATCGGTTTAGATTTGGATATAGCTCCCATATATAACTTCGTCCGATTTACGTTTGATTGTGTAGCAAACATCTAATATTTGTCCATATGGGATGGAATTTGGCACCTACGACCGAATTGAGTCTAGAAGCTAGTATGTCAAATTTGGTGAAGATCGGTTCAGATATAGCTATAGCTTCCATATATATTATTCATCCGATTTGTTATATTTGTTACCCACAACCGTAATATGCACTTCGTAACAAAGATATTCAGGGAAATATATCAAATACAGCTCAGAAATATCTTTGCTAAATTTTATCGAGATCGGTTCAGATTTGGATATAGCTCCCATATATATCTTTATCCGATTTAAAATTAATTGTGCACCAAATGGGCAATACAATTCCGAATTTAAAAGACACAAATGCTTCGGCATATTTAGTCCTTTGAACTTTAAATTATAATTATAATCATAGCGTGTATGATTGAATTCTCCCATAAAAACTTTTAATTGTTATGTGGAGCTCTACTTAATTAGCAAAGTGGTGTAGGGTATCATAAAGTC